CTCCTCAAGGGTTCACTTTGCTGGGTGTTCTTCTGGGGCAGGGACCATTGCCACGAGGCCACTCCATGTGTCCTAGAAGTGCAGATGGCAGCAATGCTCACTGATGATGACTAAGTGCTTTCCAAATCTCAATGGCCCTGGCCACTCCCAGAGCTCCTAGAACTCAGTCATCAGCCCCCATAGCTACCACAAATTCCATAAAGCCTACATGGCTCAGGTGACCCTGGGTCCCCAGGATTCTAACACTAGTTTTCAGATTTCTGGGGGCACCAGCCACCGTTGGTGTCTCCTACTGGCCGTGTCCTTCTCCTTTTGTGGCCTCCAGTGGCCTCTATCGCTGCTGGGAAATGACAAGGTTTGGAGAAGTGCCCCATGTTCCCAAAGGGGTTTCCTGGGCCTCCCTACCCTATGCCCACCATTGTTGCTTGAGTGGGCCCCCATGGCTCCAGAGGTGGCCCAGACAGAAGCTGAAGTATCACCAATGGGCACGGTGTCCATGAGGACTCTGGTGACCCTGACCTTGTGGGCACTTGGGGAAAGGAGCAGTGTTAGTAGTGGCAAGGCAGGAAGACGGCTTTTGTTTCAGTTTACAGCACTGGCCTCTTCCCATGCATGGTTCTTCGAACTCTAACCTCTCAGGCTGGCTGTGAGGCTCTAAATAGGTGATTCTGAGCATAGCAGGTGCCCCACTGCAGCCTGCACCCCTGGGCGCCTCTCCGTGACTCTGGCTCCTAGGCTAGCAGGAAGCCCTGGAAGCAGGGTCTGCTGCTCTGCTAGGTCCTCTACAAAGCGAGCCTTGTGCAAAAGTGAGGGTGAGACAGCTGGGATGGTGCTCACCTGTCGTCCCAGAACTCTGGAGGCTAAAGCAAGAGGATTGCCAAGTTTGAGCCCAGACCAGGTAACTTAGCAACTTAGTGAGAACCTATCTCAAAATAAAAATAGTTTAAAAGTAGGTGAGGATGTAGTTTAGTGGGAAGGCCTTGGGTTCAATCTCTAGTACTCCCCCCCAATGGTGGAGAGGGGTGGAGAGAAGTTGCCAGTTTATTAACAAAGACTTTCTCTGCTGGAGCATGGGTGCTGAGTTGAGAAAGCACTCATATATTTTTGGTTGGTTGCTTTGAGACAGGGTCTTGCTACGTAGTCCAGGCTGGTCTTGAACTCCCTGTGCAGCCCAGGAGGCTGGCTTCAAACTGCCAGTGAAATCCTGAGTACTGGGATTACAGGCACACGCCACCACATCCAGCATGAAGAGGACTTGTGTTTTAATAGCCTGAGACTGTGCAGGGGCTTCCTGTGAGGTGGCAGAGTGCTAGGTCCTGGGGGAACCCTGGGTCAGCTGTCTGCCGTCCTCGGGTCTCTTTTCCTCACGGTTCCATCAGTGGCTACACTGAAGCCTGGGGGCACCAAAGAGGCTGAGAATAGGAAGGACTAGAGGCTCGTCCACATCACTCGTCCCGTCCAGAGGATGCAGGCAGGAATGGCTGCAGGAAAGGAAGCCCACTGCCTCCATATCCTAGTCCCAGGGCTAGGCATGGAGCCTGGGGATGCAGGAAAAACCAGCTAAGCACATGAAAGGGTCCAGTGTTCCATGCGTGACTTGGCACAAACTGCCTGCTCTCTGGTGCTTGCATCTCTTTACCACCCTACAGGAAAGACTTTTAAGACCTAGGCAGGGAGTACTGGACTTCACTTCATTTTTTTAATTTTAAAGAGAAAAAAACTCCAAAATTTCAAAACACATTAATAGAGGGTAACAATGGTTAATTCATTGCTTGTTATCTTTGAATTAGTTAAAGTACAAGATAGCTGCATTTAATTATCCAAACAATATTAGCACAAACCTTTTTCAATGAACTAAAAAAATTAGTAGTATAACTGTCATATATATATTTATATATAAATTTCTTTCAACTTCTCACACTAGGGAGACAATATGATGTTTACACATGCAAGTCTGATTTATTTCACTTATGAGTATGGACTCTAGTTGCACCCATTTACCTATAAAAGCCCTTTATCCATTCTTTGGTTAATGGGCATTTAGGTTGTTTTCAAAATCTAGCTATTACAAGTTGTACTTCTGTAAACATGAGTGCACATATATCATTGTGGTACTTTAATTCTTCTGGGAAGATACCCAGAAGGGGAATAGCTGGGTCAAATGGTACCTACAATCCTAGTTTGAGGAATCTCCACTCTGATTTCCAGAGTGGTTGTAACAATCTGTACTCCTACCAACAGTGGAGAAGAGTTTCTTTTGCCCCATAGACCCTCAGGCATTTGTTATTGGTTGGTTTCTTGATAATAGCTACTCTTTCTGGGATGAGGTGGGAATCTCCGTGGTTGTTTTAATTTGCATCTCTTGAATGACCAGTGATGTTGAGCATTTTTTCATATATTTATTTGATGTCTGTGTTTCTTCATTTGAGAAGTGGGTATTCATCTCAGATGCCCATTTTTGAACTGGGACTCCCAAATTTAGGAGGCTGGACCCACTTCTAAAGTTTTTCTCCTATTTAGTTGCCACATCTAGTAGAGCTAGTTTATAGAGCCACCTTGGCCAGGGGCGGTTGCTAGAACAACTTCAGTCAGCTGCATTACTAGGTAAATTAGTTCCTCTTTTTATCAGTCCTGTATGTTCAAAGGTATGGAAATGGGGTTTCCTGGTGTTACAGTTTATATCTCAATGTCCCCGCAAAGTCTCATGCTCTAATAGGTGGAGCTTTGATACTCATCAGTGAATTAGTCCACTGAGAAGTTTATAGCTAAATGTGATGTTGGGAGGTGAAACCTGGTGGAAGGAGTAGGTCACCGGAAGTGTGGCTTGGGAGGGTCTGTTTCCCTCTCTCCTTCCTTAGTTTTCTCTCTCTGCTTTCTGTCTGCCATTCAACAAGCAACCTTCCTCTGACTTAGAGCCAGATGATGTCTGAAACTCCCACAAACTGAGTCAAAATAATCTTTGGAGTTGTGGACGTTGGATATTGTGCCTGAGTGATACAAAAGTAACTAAGACAGATTTTGGTACCAGGAGTGGGGTCATTGCTGTGAGGATGTACCAGACCATGTGGCTCAAAAACATTTGGAACTGCTTTGAGGGAAGAGTTTGGAAAGGTTTGGAAATGCCAACTGGAGAAGCAGCCCTACAATGCTTTGAGCTGAGCTTGATGGAAGATTCTGGTCAAAGCTTAGAAGACCAGAACGCTGAGGGTAATGCAGTCAGAATAGAATAGACTCAAGAGGTTTCAGTTGGGGACAAGGACACCACTGACATTTGGACTCCAGGACATATGTGCTATTCTCTGGCAAAAATACATTGTCTATATTTGCTCATGTCCTGAGACTTTTGAGGGAGAATGAGATAAGAGGACCAGACTACCCTGGCAGAAGAAATTTCAAGGCAGTCTAATATTGAGGCTGTGGCATGGCTACTGAGGACTTTTAGCCAGTTCAACTTTAAGAGTCAAGAGAAAAAGGCACAGCTGAATGATTGAAAAATTTTTGAGTCTGATCAGAGGAGAAACTGTGATAAAGTTGAAGCTTTCAAAGATGGAGCAGAGGAGCACTTGTTGCTTGCTAAAATGATTTACATTTAAACGAACTTTGGAATAGAATAGGAAGGGTGGCCTGAGGGCATCACAGGAACCACAGGACCCTGATGGGAGGAGGTAGATCATTGGGGGTGTGTGTGGCCTGGGAGAGACCATTTCCTCTCTCCTTCCTGTCTGCCATCATACAAGCAACTTTCCTCCGCCTTAGAGCCAGATGACTATGGGATGAAACCCCTATAAGCTGTGAATCAAAATAATCAAAATCGCAAAGGTTAAAGACCTTGCCTTGAGGAGAGTCTTGACACTGTTGGAGAAAGGCCAGCAAGGGAACTGATCCCCAGGATTCAGTTCACCATCCTCAGCCATTCAGCCACTTGGAGGCTTCTGAAACTAGTAACAGGATGCAAAAGGGTTCAGCTATTGCTCCAGCTGGTGGCAGACCTTGGTGTCATCCATGTGGTGCTGGTTTTAGGTGTATGCAAGCTTCAAGAGTTGTGGGGTCAGAGAAGGTTCCCCCAGATTTTGGAAGGGAATGTGCCCCTGAGAAGGCAGCATATGAATCTGTGAGTGTGAAGGTGAAGGTGGATGGCATTTGTGGGACACTTTTCCTTTAAGCAGGCATCACATTCTCAGGAAGGGAGGGTAAGGCAGGTTCTCTGGATCATGAGAAGAGAGGTTTTAATAAAGGAGTTGACAGTCTGCTCCATGGGCTGGCAGGACAACACCAGTTCTATGGCTTCTAGGGTCTATCCTGAAATCTTCGGTACAAACTGAGGGATTCTGGCTATGTTCTGATCTGTATTCCAATCCTTCTTGAGCTGAGGGACTGTTCTCTCAGGATAATAATCACCAGGGTGACCTAGGTTTCAGCAGCCACAGCTCCCAGGACCTTCACGGCCACCCTACATCCAAATTGAAACCAGGCTTCAGACTCTCTTCTCTTCTAGCTCTCTGTGCTCCTCAGACACCAGGTCTGCTATGTGGACTGGAGTGTGAGCTTGGTGGAAGCTACTTTTTTGCCATTGGGAAGTTGTCACTATTGTCTTTGAGTCTTGGGCATGGGAAAGGTTAAGGCATTGTGACAGAGCCAAGCAGATCTGAGTTTGGTTTGCTGTTGCTGAGCTGGGTGAATGTGGACAAACTGCTTGACTTTTTTTGTGCCTCAATGCAACCAATCTGTGAATGGGCAAAGTCACAAATAAATAACATGGAAGGGCCCATTGCACAACTGTGTCGAGGACGGAAGAGACAGCTTCTGTAAAGCAGCTGGCAAATGCGATGTGAACGGTGAACATGGGAATGAAGGTGGATGGGCCTTCTGGGACATGCTGCTTCTCTTTGCTCCTAATCTTAATAAAGAAACTGAAGGAAAATGCAAAACTATCACCCTACTGAAAGCAGCCATGTGATGCATTTGTCCACTTCGTTTTTTAAAAACAAGTAAGCAGAGTATCATGTGCCCTGGGGGCCTCCAATAAGAATATTTATGATGCAAAACAAGACAACAGGTTTCATTTTTTAATAATACTGTAAATATCTCAGAAAGGATGTATTGTTCCTAACAAATATCAAAAAGTGATCACGATGACACAGCCCCCACCCCACATCACCCTCCCCACCCTGTAAAGTTACCCGGATCCTAGTAGGAAATTACAAAATACAGAAAACCCAGCCCCCTCCACCCTGCTCATGAGTAGGGTTAAGAGTGTCAAGTGTTAAGAGCCACGTGTCTGGTGCGTGCATCCCAGCGGCAGACCTTGGAGGCCAGTCCTTTTGTCTGTCTGCCCGCAGGAGCTGGTGGTGGGACTGTAGCAGCAGTAGATTTCTCTCCCTGGGGCCTGCTGGGAGGAGTGTGGCTGAGGACAACAAGTGCAGGGGGTTGCTCCCAGGTCCCCCAGGCCAGATGGCTCAGGGGCTGCTGGTCTGTCCATGAGCAGCTAGGAGCAAGAGGGGCCCCAGAACAAGGTGCCCCCACCTGTCCTGGGGCCTGGGCCTCCCTATGAGCAAACTCAGGCTTTAGGTGAGGGCCTGGTGTAGTAGAGAATACAGGTTTTTGAAACCTTTGGGTCAATGGAACACATGGGTATCTTTTGTAGAAAGCTAACAGTTCCATCAAATGGAAATGGGGCCTGTGAGGGAAGAAAAATGAATGCACCTTCTTCACCCCGATAGCTCAGAAGACCACATGGAGGCTTGATGTGAAGTCCAGTTAATCAGGGAAAGAAATCACTGTTGAGGCCTGAGGCCAGTCCTGCCCTCCTGTGGCCTGAGGCCTGTGCCCCTCAACCCAAGAACCAAGGGCTCCCCAGATCCCCCCCCCCCCGCCCAGGTCATTTGTATAGACAGGAGCTGAGGCTTCTGGCTGCTGGTACAGAGAAGGGAGTCTCCACACAGGGTCTGCCAGGACAAACAAGACAGGGGTAGGCAGGTGACAGCAAGCAGGAAAAGAGGTAGCTGGGGACAGAGAAGGGCCTGTGGCCTCCCAGCAGCACCCACTGTGGGAGGCTACAGGAAGTCTATGCCTCCTGAATCAGAAGCCACTATGGCTCCTCCATAGCTCTGCCCAGGATGGAGACACAGAGGGAGGACAAGATCAGGAGGTTGACAGGAGGAGCCCCTGCCACAGGGCTGGGACAAGGATAAAGCCAGGGTTAGCACACATATCACCACATCATTGCAGGAGAAATCAGGTTTCCAGTGAGCAGGTGTAAACAGGGTTCCATAGAGGGGACTGGGATAGGGGGAGGCGATGGCCTGTGCAATGTTAGGAGTCAAGTTAAATGGCAGTGATTTAGGGGAGGGAGGCAAACAGAATCCCCCAATTTGGGAGATAGGGAAATTGAGCCCAGGGAGGGGAAGGGAGTGGCAAAGGTCACTTAATAGGACTGAGGCAAAGGGCCTCTGACCTTGGGGTCCCCAGTCTGCTGGGGCTTTCTCTGCTCTGCTATATAGCCTTTGGCCTGCAAACCCCATCCCTGAAAAACGGATATTCAAGAGAGAAGCTGGGGACCCAGAGGGGACAGCTGCCCACAGAGTCAGGAATAGTGGGTGAAGAGGCCAGCAGAGAACAGTTTATCACTCCCCACCCTACCTGCCCATAGCCCCAATATAAAATTTTTACAATATGGCACACTGACCCCTAAGACACACTGATTAAAACCATTGTGGGATGTGTGAGGTGCTAGTCTCTGTACAGAATTATCTCACGGTGGTGGATACTTCCATGGTCACCAAGCGAGGTCGGGATGGGGGTTATCAGCATGTGTACAGTGGCCCATGGAGATTAACGTGTTAATATATCCTGTGTACAGAAGCAAAGCCCCTACCACTAGGAGAAGCTTGGGGTCATTTACACATGAGAAGGGGAGGAGAATTGAGGTGGCAGGCAGATGAGTAGGTTCAGAAGTGCGTCTCCTTCTCTGTGATGGCCGCGATGCTGCCGTCACCCTTGAGCTTGGCATCACAGTCATTTACCGTCACCGTCCGTGGGCCTGCCCCAAGCTTGCCCCGCATTTTCAGATCTGCACTGGGGACTGTCAACTTCCGGAATTTCTAGATGTTGGAGAGGAGAAGAGCTGTCTCAGGGGGCTGCCAGGGCCTAGGAGTCAGCCTGAGCCTTGCCAGTGCACATGTGGGGTGCCTCAATGCTGTGGATCCACCAGCTTGAGGCCCAGGTCCTGGCCCTGCCATAGTGCTCTTTCCTGGATGATGCACTGGCCTCCATAGGCCTCAGTTTCCTGCCCTGGATAATAGAGACAACAAAGGTCCCTGCTCCTGGTATTAATGAATAGAAAGGAGATGAGGGTGTGCAGAAGTGCATGGCTTCCTGGGTGACCTCAAGAAGGTGATTAGAATCTGAAACTAAAATCAGGACCCACTATCTGGCCCCTGCCCTCTGGCAGGGGCTAAGAAGCTGGGATTTGAATGCTGCTGGGCCATTGGCTAGCCATGCCAGCCAAGTGTTATGGTTTGGATCAGAATTATCTCCCACAGGCTCTTATGCTCAGAGCTGGAGTTTTTGGAAGATGATTGGGTCATGGGGGTGCTATACTCACCAGTGGATTCATTGATGAATTCAGTAGCTGAGTGTGCTGTTAGGAGTGGGGTCTGGTTGCTGGTAGGTCACTGGGGTATGACCTATAAAGATATATTCCTGTCCCCAGGTCCTCCCTTCTCTCTCAACTTGGGATGAACAGCTTTCCTCTGGCATGCCCTTCTACCAGGGCATTTCTGCCCTGGAGCCAGCCAGCCAACCACTGAATCCACTGGAAGCTGTAAGCCAAGTAACCTTCTCTTTTAAGTTGTGAGTGTTGGGTACTGTGTTCTAATGATGGAAAAGTGACTAATACAGAAATTAGTACCAGGAGTCGAGTCATTGCTATGACTGTACTTAACCATGTGGTTGAGTCTTTCGTTTGTAGCAAGAGTTTAAAAAGATTTGGAGATGTCAGCTAGAGAAGCCTGTGCAATGACAAGCAGACATTGGTTGGAGAGTTTGGTCAGAGTTCAGGGAACCAGATGCTGACAGGAATGAAGACAGTAAAGGCCAGGCTCAAGGGGCTTCAGTTGAGGGCAAGGACTATATTGGAGGTTGGACTAGAGGGCATGTGTGTTGCACCTGGAAGAAAATGTGTTTACATTTATTTATGTTTGGGGATTTTGTGATAGACTATAAAGTTAAGGGCAGTAGACTAATCTGGAAGCCCAATATTCAGGCAGTGGCACAGATACTGCTAATTGCTTTTAACTAGTTCTATTGTGAGACTAAGTAACAGAAAGCAGATGGAAAAAGTCTGCAGTTTCATTGGAAAGGAAGTGCCTACAAAGTTGGGCTCTTAGCAAGCATGTTGCTGAAAAGATCACCGTTAAAAAGAAATCAAGAACTCTGCACAGGATGATAGGACATATGAGTTGGAGGCATCTCAAGAATCAACAAAATTCCATCTTTCATAGGCTCAAGGGTACAGAATTATAAAGCTTTCATTTGAGAAGAGAGCCCTCAGTCTCCCTGCTTGAGAAGGGCTGCCTGGGGAATTGATTCATTTGGATTCATTTCACAGTTCTCAGCCACACAGGCACTAGGAGGGAGACCTCTGTGGCCATAATGCAAGGAGGCCTGGCTACTGCTCAAGTTGGCAGCAGACCTTGGCATCGGCTATCTGGTGCTCATTTTACAGGCATACAGAATGCAAGAGTGATGGGGTCATGGTGGCTTCCATCCAGATTTCAGAGGAAGTCCTGGAAGACCAAGCAGTATGCCCATGAGAGGACAGTGCACGAAGCTGTGATGCTGTAACTAAATATGCAATGGAGAATCCAAGGAGCTAGAGATGCTAGGAATGTGGAATGTATGCTGAATAAATCTGCAGGAAGGGTCACCCAAATCCTTTACAGCCCACATCTCACTACCATCTGCCCCAGACGATGGGGCATGGAGCTATAGGATTTAATGTTTGCCCTGCTGAATTTCAGTCTTGCTTTGGCCCTATTTTTTTCTGTTCCTACATGTATTCTTCCACTTTGGGATGGGAGTCATTATCCTGTATAATTGTATGTTGGAAGTACTTAACTTTCTTTTTGATTTTCACAAGGGTTCATAGCTAAGAATTTGGATTGAGTCTCAGAGGAGACTTTGGACTTGGATTTTTCAGCTGTGCTGGAACTGTTAAGATTTTGGCAATTCTTAGAGATGTGCCAAATGTATTTTGCATAATGAGATAGATATGATCATTTTGGGGGTCAAGGGAAGAATGCAATGGTTTATATTTAAAATGTAAAAAGTTTGAAAATGTCAAAGTTTCATGTGTTTGCAAGATGACTGGATTGTGAGGTGCTATACTCATCAGTGAATTCATTCACTGATGGGTTCATGACTGAATGTGCTGTTAGGAGGTGGGGGTTTTGAGGCAGGTCACTGGGAGTGTAGCCTGAAGGGCATATGCTTCTCTCCAGCTTTTCTCTTCTCTCTTTCCTGGCTGCCATGAGGTGAGTAGGTTTCCTCCGCCAGGGCTCTCCATCATACCACTTCTGTCTTGGAGGTAGCCAACCATGAACTACAGGAAACTGTGAGCAAAAATAAGCCTCTTCTCCTTTAACTTTACAGGATTTGGGCATTTTGTCCAGTGACAGGAAAGTCAATAGTGCACCCCTGAGACCTCACAGAGACACATTCAGCACAAGTTTTATGATGGATGCCTGCCACACAGGAGGTGGCCCATGACTTTCCTGAGGAATAGGTTGGCATATCTGCATCATCCCTGCCCAGGGGAAGAGGCTGAGACCAGTGAGGTGCCAGGACCCGTGCATGCTCTCCATCCCTCCCTGCCCCCTCCCACCCTGGGCAGCACACCTGCTGTCTTCCCCTCCCTTGTCTTGGGCAGTGTGCCCACCAACACCAGCCTCCCTCACCTCAGGCAATGTGCCCTCCATCCGCCATAGCTGGACGCAGACCCAGAATGGAATGCAGAGCATGGAGGACAGCGCCATGAGCCAGCCGATGCCATAACCCCAGGCAGGGTATGTGTAGACATTGTTGTACTTGAGTGGCTTGTACTTGACGAGGAAGAAGATGAAGATACCCTACACAGAGATGAGAAGTTCCTTTGGTCACCAACACCCACCTGTCCATAGCAATGTGGGCCAGAGCATCTGGAGTATCAAGATGCATAGGGATGCAACTCGGTCCCCACTTCCTGAGACCTGGACCTCCCATTACTTTGCCCAGCCAGGGACTCTTGCTTTGTCCCTGTTACTTCCTTTGAGGTTCAAAGCTACTTTCCCAACCTCTCCAGACTATGAGATGCTCTGAGATACTTCCAGGACCAAGAAGCAGGCAATGGGTGACAAGGCTGTGCACATTTTTTGTGTCCTGTCTCTCAACAAGATCCCTTGTAGTCTAGTCTTAGAGAAGCATACAAGCCTGACATCATGTCAGCTTTGTCACCACCATAATTAACAGCAAAGCAGAACCTTAGGGTCCACATGGCCTTGGTGCCAGTGAGATACAACTCAGGCCCAAGGCAGGTGTACACTTGCTCAGGCCACCCAGAAAGCTGGTGGCAGAGCCAGGATCTGGTGAGGGCCCTGCTAAGCTCAGAACCTGTCCCTGTGACCTCAGCTTCACCAGGTGTCACAAGGGGACCTGGGGACATGAGCTCTCTCAGGGCCAGTGAGGCTGGGTAGGAATGTGGAAGGGAAAGAGGGTGAGTAAACAAGTGGCAGGTGGGCAGGCATGGCACCTGGCTGGTCCTTACCGCACAGATCCCAGGGGTCACCACCTTCCAGCACCACTTAATGAGTGACAGTGGCTGGTAGCCAATCATGTCTTCAATGTTGTCATAGAACCGGTTGCTTCCTTGCAGAGAAGAACAAGTGGGCATGAGACTCAGTGCTCTTATTTACCACTAAACCCTACCACAAAGTGACACAGTGTGGCCTGAGTGATGAACGACCCCAAGGACCTCATGCAAAAGCCTGGTCCCCGAAATGGTGCTTTAGGAGGTGGTGCCTGATGGGATGTCCTTAGGTCATTGGGGCCATGCCGCAGAAGGGATCTGGGGACCCTGCCTGACCTTTCTTTCTCTGCCCCATTGGAGCTGCCATGGCTTTGCAGACCACACTCTAGCCATGAGGTTCTGCCCTCAGCCAAGGCCCAAGCTGGAACCTGTGGAGGCGGAACTCAGTCAAGTCTTCTTGTCCTCCTTGGGGTGGGGGCTGTGTTTCATCATGGGGTGCAGCTGGCTGACTTGAAGGGGCTCAGAGCACAGGGATTGTGGAAGAAGGTGGAAGGGCTCCTTTTGGAGAAGCGAGGCCAGAAGAGCTGGCTGACCCGCTCAGGTGGCAGCTTGGCTGGGTGGGGCTGGCAGAGGCAAAGCAGCCACTCTACACTTCCATGTCTGGCACCTTTGGTGTGGCCCAATTTGAGGAACAGGAGGACGAGAAGGAGGTATTGACTGAGGGCTGTTTTGTCTATACTGTGTCCCACCTAGAAAAACACTCCACAAACTTCATCTCACAGAGGAGAAATGGAGAGTAGGGGATAGGTCAAACCTGAGGTCACAGTGCCTAGACTGTAAACCTGCTCCCTGTGTGGGGACGAGAAGGCAGGAAAGTCACCAGGGGTGAGGACCCACCACTCACCATACACCCAGCCGATGCACACACACTCGAAGATGGCCACGAAGAGCAGGCACATTCCGCTGGCGGCATAGGAGTCGAAGAGCTGGAAGATGTACATGCCTCCCTGCGGAGACACATGTGGACAGCTTGCTGCTGGCTGACAGCAGCTGTGGCCCTCTGGGGCTGCCGCTGGCCAGGGCTGTGCCTGTCCCTTCTCTGAACATTGCAGCCTCCATGCCTGGGTACCTCCAGACCCATCCTCTGGGGACTTCAGCAAGGTGATGGCATGTCCTATCTCAGCCTCCCAAGCCTCCCCAGCATCACACTGAAAGTCAGTCGTGGTCAGGCCTACAGCTAAAAAGGCCCTCGTCGATCCTCTGTGGCACCTGCCACACAGTAGGTCCCTGAGTAGTGTGAGTGTGGGCCCTGTGTGGGCAGGGACCCTGACTGGCTGGGCTGGGCCAAGGACTGGCACACAGCAGGTGCACAGCCAGCCTTGGAGGCTGGAGGAATGGCTGGGCCTGGCCTGTGGTAACACAGTTGGCACCATGGCTGCAAGCTCTGATCCCTGGATTTGGCCTCCCTTGACCAAAAACATTTGGGGAAAAAAGCCTCTGTACTGAACTTGTCCAAATGCTGTTCTTATCACAGTCCCCAGACACCAATTTCTTGGATGCTGTAGTAGGTATGGAAAGCCACAAGAGATGCTAGTGCCCAGCAGGACTATGTGTGCCCACCACGTCTTGCCTCTGTGGATTCGGATCCTGGGGCCCATCCTTCATGGGTACTGATGGACTTCATGGTCACCAAGCTCCGTGGAGGTCCTGGTGGGCATGAGATTAGCCAGCTAGGGTCCAGGAGGTAGGAGGCACTGCAGTGAGGGGACAGGTTGGATCTACCCAAAATCTTTGTCACTCAGCCAGGGCCATCACCTTGGCACACTGGTGCAGGGGGAGAGAGGGTGAAGAGCTGGGCCCTGTGCGTCCCCCAGGGTCTCCCCTACCAGTGCCAATTCCGTGCTCGCACTGTGTGCTGCTCTCTCCTGCACAGGCCTCACTCCGAGACCCTCTGTGTCCTTGCTTCCCTCCTCAGACACGGAGCAGTGTGGCCGGACCCAGAGGAGTACACCTTTGCTCCAAATGAGAAACATGGGCCAGGTGTGACACCAGGGAGTGGGGGGACTGCAGCTCATGGGACAGCACCCATATGGCCACAGCACTCTGGGCTGTGCAGGGCCGCCATCACTGCAGGTTTGCTGGAAGACACAGAAATCCAGGTTTTCATGAGAAAGTTTTCTCTCTTTTAATGCTTGGTGACGTCACTGTGTTTTATTAAACACAGTGAGAGTGAAGCAAGGCAAATACCGCAGTGGCCATCAGGTCTGTGGGCACAAGGGTAGCCTGAGCACTGGGACCAGCAGTAGAGCCGGCTCTGAGCCAGCTCTTGAGACCCCTCAACTTCCTTCCTTCCACTAAATATGGAGTGGGAACCACAGGCCACACCCAGCACAGCCCAAAGGCACTGTGGTATCAGGCATAGGACAGAGGTCTCCTGAGACTACAGCCCTGGGATGTCACTGTCCTGTGTGAGCTTGTTCTGTGGCAGCCACACAATGAAACTACCTAACAACGAGTCCTCCAGACACATCCTGTCTATCACTGACCTGCTGTTTCAACCGCTTTCTGTATCTTGGTTCACTTCTTGGTCCTTTCCAATGTGATCACAGGCAGGCACTATGCTATAGGGGACACCGAGGCACAGTGCAGGGAGAGTGCCTGCTGCTGGCCTTCGGCTGGTTGGGGAGGAGTCAAGCACAAAGCCTGATATAACGGTTTGGCAGTGGAGCCGGGTCTTGGTCACCCAGCACCCTACCTGGTGGGGGCTACAAGTTGATGGCCTGTGCTTGCCCTGGAGCTAAGCTCTGAATGAAGGAAGAGATTCAGCCAGGCCGGAAGGCAAATTGTACTTTGCTGATGCTCTACCCAGACGTTCTGGCCACTGAGAATGATCCTGTTTCTTTGCACTGACTGCTCATACTGGTGCCCTGAAGGCCCTGGGTTACCAAGCTCCTCAGGTGGATCCAGGCCTCAAGCAAATGGGCATGGCAGGCCATGCTCCCAGCCAGCCAGACCCATATTTGGCCTGCTCTTCTTGTGACCCTGGCCTGTCCCTGTCAGCCTCCCAATTTGTATGCAACAAAAGACTCGCCTTTGCATGATTAATCAGAGCTTAATAAGACCCTGCCACTGCAGGCCCACAGAGGGAGGAGTGGGGGTGCTCCACTCCCTGTGCCTTTCCTCTAATGCAGATTATGGGGGGGACAATGACCAGGAGCCACACTGAGTAGGCAGGCGATGGCCTGCTCTGGCTTTGATGGCCTGCGGCATGGGGGAGGCAGGTGAACAGGGACTACAGACTACTGGGCTGAGGGACAAGGAGGGTGGCTGGTCTAGTGACACAGGGCCAGAGGCTGAGCCCCAACAGGGAGGCAGGCAGCACAGCTTCCTAGCAGGGGACATTCAGGGAAAGGACTAGTAGGTTCCACAAGGAGTCACAGGCCGTGCGTTTGCCAGGTTGGCCCGATTTCACATGGCTGCTCTGATGAATTCAGAGTACCCCTTCCTCCGACAGCTCTCAGAAATCTCTGCCTGTCTCCTAGAAGAAGCATTTTCTTAATTATCTTTGTGCACATGGGAGAAACATACCAGTCTCACTTCCCAAGGCACCTGAACAAGTATTAGTGTTACAGGTAGCTGAGTTGGTTAGAAATATTAGAGGCAGTCAGACAGCACTGGGCCCTCTAAGGAGCCTTGTGCAAAAGTTCAGATACTTTGTGACCTCTGAGGAGACAGGCTCCTCCTGCTGTGGGCCAGACCTCAAAACAAAGGCAAAGCAAATGCAACCACATTCTCAGGATTAATAGTCCAAATAATTCTCTATCACCCTGAGGAAGTCAGGAGTTACCATCCCTGCGCCCTACAGGAAATCACTGCTGCTAAGCATGCCCACTCACTATGGTATTACTTCCCCATTTGTTCCTGAGTTAATCAGTTTTACCTGAGCAATTAAAATCTTACTGGTGAGCCATAGTACCGTCCCTCTCATGCCCACCTTGAGAGTTCCCAGGTTTTCCTCACCTTGGACCCGTCTCACCTTGTGATTTCACTCTATAAAAGTTCCTCAAAAAGACAAAGTTCCCTGGCAACCCATTCGGGGCCCTTCTGTCTCTCTCAGACAGAAGTTTTCTTTCTCTCAGTAAACATATTCTGCTCTTAACCTCCGCTACTCCTAAAATTCATTCTTTGATTTTAGAGAACACAAACTCATACCGGACATAGTAGGTTGGGAGTTTCGTTCCCCTATATCATTAGGACAGCTGCTGAGTCAGGAGACTTGGTTTGGGAGTCTCAATTCAGGGTCAGGGAGTCCCTCACACACTACAGGCCCAGCAGGGTGATGCTCAGTGGGTAGAGGTCGGAGCACACCTTGAGGGAAGTGCCTGTTCCCAGAGAAACCAGCTTTGAGTTTAGGAGTTGGCAGCTGACACTGTCCGCTTCAATCAGAAGTTGCTAGCTGGGATGACTGAAGTGGCCACCTATGTGCTGAAGATCATCCTGTGTGTCTCGGCCCCCACCAGTGCCCAGGCTTGGTGAGTACTCGCACCAGCAGGAGGGGTTGCCTGGCCCCTGCCCCTGTGCCCACCCCCACGTGCTCACCTCTGTCAGCATCACGAGGCCCAGGAAGTAGGAGACCACTGACAGGGCCAGGATGAGCAGCTCTCGCCGGTAGCCCCTCCGGAAGACCTTAGGGTACATGTCCACCACAGCTGTCACCAGGCTTTCCACGCACACAAACTGCAGGGGACACCATGCCGTGAGACCCAGGAAGAGGCTGCTCTCACCCAGCTTCTTTCCCAGCAGGGCAGCTGTACTCCCTCTAGTCCCCACATGGCGCCCTGGAGCGAAGATTGTGACACCAACACTGGCTGTGCCCTGAGCCCAGGAAACAGGTGGGGCTGGGCTGCCCCAGGCACTCAGCCCATAGAACCCAGACCTGCACTGTGGTCTGAGACTCCTGCTGGACCTGGCGCGGGGTAGGGACTGGAGTGAGACCAGAGAAGCAAATCAGGAGCCCATGTCGCTCAGTGCTCTGCTCGCAGCAGGCTCTGGGACTGTCAGTTCCTTGTCCCTGCTCCTACTAGGCAGGTGCCCACTGCTAGGCGAGGGCAGTCAGTGGTATGGCAACACCCAGCTCTCTGTTTCTGCTGGGTGGGCTCTGAGCTCTGGTCAAATGGTGCAGGCCCCGATGGATGAGTTTGACCTGCTGAGCATCTGAATTCTCAGCGTGGAACACAGGGCCTGGCACACAGTTGCAGTCCAACTCGTACCTGCCCATCAGTACCCAGCCCAAATGTCCCAACTCAGCAAGAAGCCCCTTCTCTGGGTGGGTTCTCACGGCACCAAGGGGAGATCTCATAACCACTTCTGCTTCCTACTGGCTCACAGAGGTCTTTGCCTCTGTTCCTTACCCAGGGATCCTGGCTTGGCTACATCTATGCGAGGAGAGGACATGGGGCCAGGGGCTGCTTTGGTTTCACCTGTTTCTAGTTTCCAGTGCAGGGACCCATGTGCAGGATGGCTGCTCCTACCGATGCTACAGTGCACTCTATCAAAGTCATGGGTCCGAGTTGGAGGTCTCAGTCATTCGCGGATTTTTTCTTAGAACCTGTTTGTAAACCTGCAAACACTATCCTCTGTAATTGTTTTGTGTGTGTGTGTGTGTGTGTGTGTGTGAGGTCTGCAAGTGGCCAATCCAAGAGGGCTACTGAGTTCTCCTTGCTTCGATTGGTCGCTGCCCCATAACCCATCTCCCAGATACACCAGCATCCTCGTGTCCTAACAGGTTGGAGACCACACATAGCTAATGCTTGTGTTCTCAGTTTTGTTCTTCTTGAAGCCCTAAGATCTCTAAGATGCTACCAAAATACCCTGCACCTTTTAAGGGTTTATTAATATAGTATTTTGTTAAATTACATAGCTGTAGGAGACAGCATATTTAGAGTTTAAACCATAAAACTAGGCCTTTATAGGCCTTTTCTGACCATATTTGGAATTTGCAGTTTTTCACAATGTGAGGGTACTCTAAACCTCACCCCCATAAATTTTGGGGATCCACTGTATTGCTTACAGCAATGCTGGTGCTTGCTATGACCTCCATCCCTCTCCCCTTCTGCCCATTGGTGCACATGCAGGGCAGGAATTAAGGGTTTTCTTGCTGGTCACCATGCTGCTGGACTCCTCTACCTCAGGACATGTTCTAGGCCTTAAATTCTAGAAGATTCACTTTTATTATCTCAGAAAAAGGATTTGCATCCTTCCCATGTGGACAAAACCCGTGAAGCACACCGAGGTGGAATGACACCCCTTGAGCCACGTGGCTTCAAGATCCCTGGGACTACCAAACCCAAGCTCCAGGCACAAACTCTGGGACTGCAGAACCCAGGCTGCCTGCTTTCTGTCACAAGGCAAGGCTGGCCTTGTTCTTCTTTCTCCGGGTCCCAGGGCAAGGAGTGGGGCCTGGGAGCAACTCTTGGGGTGCAAGTGAGACAGCATGGTGAGGCTGCTCAGTCTCTCTGAGGCCACACTTGTGCACACTGGGCAGCACAAAGGGCCGCAGCCCGCGTGATTATGGTGACAGTATGCTGTGCACACAGGTTGGGCATACAGCAAGTGAGCCAGACCTGGCTGCAGCAGCTGCCACCGCCTCTGTTTCCCTTCCCCCTTCTATCCCTGCTCCTCCTCACCCTCCTCCTCCCTTCCTCTACCAGGCCCATCCTGTCACGCACCAGCTGTCATCCCTGATCCCCGAGGCCTCTGCCTGCAACAATGGGAACAAGATTATCAGCAGAAACACCCGGTGCCTCTTGGCTTAGCTTAGCGGCTCCTGAGGCTGGGCAGGGGGGAGGAATTGGATGGGTGGTTGACAGGCACATGGGACTCGTGTGCTGAGTGACTCCCTCAAGGTCATGGGAGGGGCCGGGCCACCACCTTGTTAAAGTGGGGCCTCTCACCTGCATAGGCAGAGGGTAGGGGTCTGGGGTGCTAGGCATATGATGGCCCCTGGACTCAGGATGGGGAGTTCTGGGAGGGCAGGCCAGGAGGGTGTTTGGTGGAGATGAGGGTGGGTACACACAGGCCAATGCTCTACCTTGTGTACCTGTGCTAGGGACTCCCTCCTTCAGGTGCCATATGGTGAGAGCAGAGGCAGGTGGGTGATACCAAGGGAACCCCAACACAGCAACAGAAGCAGGAAGAAGAGGTGGCCTTGATGATGGGGTTGGCACAGGGACACATATGCCATGGCCCCTGGGTACATAGCAGCTGGCTCTCTTTAGGAAGTCCTTCCACTTTGCCAGGGCAGGAATTGGTTGGCAGAATGGAAGCACTGAAGACATAAAAATAACAGAACAGATTGAAACCGGAAACTGGGAGTTCCCAGTGAGGAACAGTGGGAAGGTTCAAAGAGATCCCAGTCTAGAAGTGGGGACCAAGGAGCTGCTTGACGGGTGACAGGCTGCTAGAAGACAGCAGGGCAGAGCTCACCTGAGCTGGGTTCTTCTGTCAGCAGTGCCCACTCCCCGTTACCCTCTCGTGCCCCTTACCTGGCTGTCCAGGCCCAGGAAGATGAGCATCATGAAGAACAGGGTGGCCCACAGTGGGGACAGAGGCATCATTGTGACGGCCTTGGGGTAGGCAATGAAGGCCAGGCCAGGTCCTACAGGGAGGAGAGAGTGCATCTGGGTATTAGGGTGAGGTTCACTCATGGGGTGCTCTTGGTGCCAGGTACCAGGTGGTGCCTAACACGTATTCGGGTCATAGGAATCTTGCACTATCCCTGAGACAGCACTGTGCCTCAAAGAGAGACAAATGAGGGTCTGGAAGGGCTGGGGTTTTGAACTCAGGGTGGGTGTGCCACTAGGACCATCCCCTGAACGGCCTTGTCTGCTGCTCTAGTGTGGATGTGGTGATCCTCAAAATGCAGACTGCCTGGCCCACCCAGAGGTTCGGAGGGACGGTCTGTGGCGAGGCAAGGCGCAGAGAGGGCTCTGTGCATGGAGAGGTGCAGTCCTGCTGAGCTGTGAGCCCTGATGCTCTCCCTCTGTGGTCTGTGGTCAGCACACAGGCCTTAGAGCCAGATGATCTGGGTTCTAATACTGACTGGCTACTTGCTGTGTTTGAGACCTGTTTTCTTAGTTGATAATGGAGATAGTAAAGTCTCACCTAAAAAAGTGGTTCTGAGAATTTGATGAGATGCTGCAGAATAGGCAGAGCACATTTGAGAGCAGCCTTATGAAAGCACAGTTTGCGCACAGTGACAGCTCATTTGGAGTACACAGTTCGAGGGTTCTGAAAAAGTGTCTACACAGACAACCAGAATTTCCCTCATTCCTTCCCGCTGTCCCTCTGCTATTTCTCCACCTCCATTCTCCTGTTTATTCTGGACAATGACTGATGGAATTGTTTTCTCTTTTCTCCTTATATCTTTTCTTCCTGTTTCATTACCAGGGGCACAATTTCACGGTATCCTCCAAGGTGGTAGCTCTTTATCTTCCTCTGGTCTGTAGTTCCTCCGCCCTTTTTCACGAGCTTGACATTGATGGGTACAGGTTCCCTATTTGCGCAGTGTCTCCTCATGAGGGTCTGCTGATGTCTTCTTAGGATTGCCTGAGGCCAGGAAATCACAGAAAGGATGTGGCGTCCTCAGCATCACAACAGGGCTACATGTCAGTCAGCTGTATTATTGGTGATATCTACCTCTGTCACCTGGCCAAGGAGGCACCAGTCTGCCAGCTTTTGTCATTCAAAAGTCACTGTTTTGCTCTTGCAGTTTTCCAGTTCCTAAGAGGGGGAGTACTTGGAGATAATGAAAATGTCCTGCTCCTGCTCAATCTTATATCCACTGACCTTGGCATCCACCGGTTACTATTTGGTGTTCAGCTGATGGTGATCTGGTATTCCTCCCATTTCTGCTCTGTTCATTAGCTACAGTCTCCCATAAGGCGCAGCTCCCCACTACTTCCCAACTGTTTGTCCCCATTAGCACATTCCCGGATGTTAGTTTGTTCTGTGGGTCACCATCTGATGCCGTCATTATTTATCAGCTGCTTGAGCTGCCTGGCTTTGGTCACCAGGGCTGCTTCTGGCTGGCCCTGGGTCCTCCGATGCTTCCATACCTTTTCTGAGCAAGTCCTTATTCTCTGGCACCACATACATGTTCTAGCTTCCTCTTGTCCTGCCCAGCACTGGAATCCACTACCCTCCAAGGGACCCTGGCTTTTGTGATTGACAAGCATGCCTGAAAATCAAGACCTGGGTGCTGGGTATGCCTCTGCCTATGGTATGGTGATGGAGTGTCAGGGCTCGCGGGCCCTCTAGCTCACAGCATGGGAAATCTATCTACCCACACACGGGGATTTCTCAGGCAACATGCATTTTACAACAGTAAGTTCCCTTATGTTAAGACTTCTGCCTACAACAGAGTTCATTCTGCTGTTTTCCTTATCTCTAAATGCATTCTCAGACAATGAAATATGTGACTCTCATGACCTATAATATATTGATCTCTGTCCAATCTTCATATGCAGCATTGCAGAATTGCTAACTTCCACTACTGTACTAACACAAATACAGTAACTTTTTTCTTCTGATTTATAGCCCTCTCTCAACACAGTTCCTCAGTATTTTCTTTCCCATCCTCTGAAGTGTGGCTACATAAGTCATCAGTCATTTGTAATAGTTAGGTCCATCTGGTATTGTTTGCATTTCATTTGCCCCACTATAATGGTTTATTTCTTCTGGATGGTTTGTGAAAGGTATCAACAGTCAAGGCTAATACAAAAGATGCACCAGGAGCTGGGGCAGTGTTGCCTGCCAGTAATACCAGCTCCTTGGTAGGCTAAGGTAGGACTGAAAACTTGAGGCCAATCTGGGCAATTTAGGGAGATCTTGTCCCCAAAACAAAAATAAAAATAAAAATAAAGGGATGCAGCTGAGTGGTGGGGCATTTACAGAGCATGTGTGAAGTCCTGGGCTCAATCTCATTACTGAAAAATATAAGCCCACAGCCAGGGTGGAGGTGCTGCTTCAGAGCCATCTTAGTACCTCATTTCTGTCCCTCCCCTGCAGCTCCTTTCTATGCACTTCAGAAAGGAAACCATGCTCTGTTTCTGGTTCACCCTTTTGTATCCTTTACACAAAAAGCAGACATAGTTTCCTATATGCTCTTCTTTCTTATATGTGGGCAGAATATCATTGATACTTGCTTTTTTAGATGTTTATAAGACAGTACTTAAAAATACCTGTCAAATTCTATTATCTTGATTATTTTTAATTGTAGATAGGTATTTAAACTTTGCCAAAGGCTTTTCTGCATTGATGGAGATAAAATCATCATATGATTTATTATATATGTGAATATCATGTAAAATATTAATGGGCTTCCTATCACTAACCCAACCTTGCATCATTCCTGGAATGGTCATGGCAGATTATACCTTTCTGCCTGGCAAGGAACCCAGGGCCTTGTGCATGACTTTCTGCAGTAACTACATAGATTGGACTTTTCTCAAAGTTCACTTTTACGCTATTGAGTATTCTAGAACTATTTTGACACGTTGTGTTTATATAATTCAGCTTGAAATTTTTTTCTTTGAACTCTAGGATATTTAGAAGTGTTCATTTAACTAGAACATATTTGGGGGCTTACCAGATATCTTTTTGTTATGGATTTCTAATTTCACTCAGTAGTTAAACAAGACATAGCCTGTACAATTTCAATGTTTTGAATACACTGAGATTTATTTTATTGCCCACCGTATGGTCCACCATGATGAATGTTCCACATTCACCTGGACAAAAATGTACTCTGCAGAGTTTTATAAATGTCAAATAATATGGTTGACAGTGTTGCTTAGGTCTCTGCATCTTTACTGATATTTTGTGTAGTTGTTCTATTGTAAGTGAGACAGAAGTTAGCTGCCAACCATGATTGTGGATTTGTCTATTTCCCCCTTTAGTTCCATCAGTTTTAACTACATTTATTTTAAGACTTTGCTATCAAGTGCAAAGACATGTAGGACTGTTAGATCTCCCCAATTAATTGTTCCTTCTTGTTTTTTTTTTTTTTTTTTTTTTTGAGAGAGTCTTGCTATGTCACCCAGGCTGGCTTCAAATTCACAGAGATCCTTCTGCTTCAACCTCTCAAATGCTAAAATTACAGGTGTGCACTGCCATGCCCAGTCTTTGAATTGCCCTCTTTATCTGCAGCAATTTGCTCTGACTTGATGTGTACTTTATCTCATGCTAATGTAGCCAAGCCAAGTTTTTATGCTTATTGTTTTCCTTCCTTCTTCCTTTTTCCATTTTTAAAAACATTTTATCTATCTGTATCTTTAATTTAAAATGCATTTCTTTTAGACATTTTACAGTTGGGTCTTGGTTTTTAATTCAGTCTGATAATCTCTGCCTTTTAATTGACATATATGGTCCATTTGCATTTAATATAATCGTTGGTTTAGCTGAGTTTAAGTCTACTGTTTTGTATTTGTTTCCTTTTTGGCCTTATTGTTGTTAATTTTGCTTTGCTTTACTCTTCTGTACTTTTATTGACTTCTTTTGGGCTAAACAATATTTTTTTTCATATTTATTTCATGTATCAGCTTTCTAGCTCTACCTCTTTAATTATGGAGCTGAACCAACAATACACATCTGCAATTTGCCAAAGTCTTCTTAGAATTAGTAACATATGACTTTGCTCTTTTACCACACATTTGACACTGCTTACTTCTGGTTAGCATTCTGACACTCTCTGCCTTGACACAGACTTTAGAACTGAGTCATATCAATAATTTAAAACAGCAAATATTCAGTTAGAAGGTTGAGATGATCAGATTAGTTATAAACACAACACCTGGCCTCAGGTTGTATAAACGCCTTCCCCAGGACAGGCCTAGAAAGTAGCTCAGTAGACGCTGGGCACCAGGCTGGGAGCAAGACACTGTCTGCACTTTATTTAACCTTTCTCATGCATTGGCTTTTTAGGTCTACCTTCCTATTTTCCAGGGTGTCTTCTCCTCCAGGCTGAGTCTCAGGGCTGTCAGGACAGTCCATGAAACATGCTGATAGCTATTTCACTACTGTATGCTCCAAAACCTCTTCCTCAGAACGTGAGCCAGGTTCCCTGAGGAAGGAGAGACAGCTGAAACCTGCATTAGCTCTGGATGATGAAAACTTCAGGAGAGGCTCACCCTATTCCACCAACCTGGGACGCAGACTAGGGTCTCCTGTTTGATACAGGAAGCGACAGGAAGGCAAGGAAGAAAGGGCCAGATCAGACTGTGTCACTTACAGGCTACGTAACTTTGGGTGAATCACTTTATGTCTTTCAACTATGGGGTCTTCATCTGGGATGGGCATTGGAAAACCCAGGACTGCTGTATGAATGGGAGCCTGGTTGTGAAGCCCAGGATGCTGCATGTGCAGCCAGGGGCAGAGGATCCGACACCTGACCTTGCAGAGATGCCAGGAGCATTGCATGGGGCACAGGGCATGGAAGCTGTGAACACGCTGGGCCTGATGAGTAGATAAAGAAGACCCACTCCATGTGTCTGTCATTGGGAGGCCATGTGGCTGCTGAAACTCATGGTGGACCTGGCCTGACCAAGCAGGAAGCTGTCCTCATTCTGCTGGGAATGGCGGGATCTGGCCTTCCCACCCCAGCCACCCATGCATCGGAGCCCTTGCAGGACCTCCCCAAAGTGTTCCGGGGGGTTTGGGTTGCACTGTCTCCTTTGTCAACAGCTCTGCATTTTTCTATGATGAATACATTTTCAGTTTGAAAAAAAGGAAACAAAAGCCTAATAAGAACTGCTGTTTGTGGGCTCCATCCCTTTTTAACAAGCTCCTCTGTGGTATTCACCTCCCCTGTGGAAATAACAACAGGAGGCTGCCACAGCAAGCAGATGCCCTTTGCTTAACACCAGGAGGTGGGACCAGCAGCTCCTTTTCGGAAAGGGAGTCTGGGAAAAGCGTCTCCCTCACAGTGCTGTCCTCAAGGTTGCGCGCAGTGATAAGTGCCTGGTGCCTCAGCCAGAGCCAGATGGCCAGCTCTGTCACTTTGAGCCTGTGCAACTTTGGATAAGTGACCGCAGGCCTCTTAGCCCTGGTTTCCTCATCTGTGAACTGGGGGCAGTAGTGTCACTTCTCTTTTGTTTTTGAGACCAGGTCTTATATGAACTCATGGCGATCCTCCTGCCTCAGGCTTTCGAGTGCTGAGTGCTGAGATTCCAGGTGCGTGCCACCACACCACACCCTGTGAAAAGTGCCATTTGTGAGGCAGATTGAGGCCCGTGAGAAACACGGAAACAGCTCCTGTGTGGCACCGTCTGGGCATCCGTGGGTCTGCTCGAGCCCCACTCCACACAGCACCATCTCAGGTTCTGGCACACACGATGCCTGGCTGGACCCTGCAGAGCTCGGTGTCCTCATCCCAAGGGACAGGCACAGATGCTGCCAGTAAAGGAGCAGACAAGAGCTGAGGAGCTGGGCACCCAGGGCTGTCTTGGCAGATGTCCCATGCCACTGGACAACGGAACACTGACAGCACTTATCTGCCTGCAGTCTCACCCAGCTGCCACATGAGCACCAACTATTCTCTCACTTTCTCATGCAGATGCATAGTTTCTTCCCAAGACACAGGCAGGCACCATGTAATCAAGGGACACTTCTCACTCTTCCACATAGGTACTCTGCCTGCAGCGGGCATGATATAAGCACATCAACCCACCTATGGTGGGATAATGCAGAGGACTGCATGTGCAAAGGCCCTTGGGTGGAGGGAGGGAGGAGAAACATCCCACAGGGTGCAGCGTGACATGAAGGGAGTGGTGGGTGGGCCACGATGAGGGCAGTGCTGTGACACCACCCTGCACAGTCAGCATGGACTCAAACAGACCGTGGTGGAGGAAGGGAGGCCAGCAAAAGGCTCCCTGCATCACAGGAGAGTATGCCAGGAGCAGGCAGAACTGGGGGATAAGGTTGGGCTGTGGTCTCAGCACGAAGGGGTCGGGCCTCCCTCCCAGGCCACCGAGCTGGGAACAAACAATGGGACTCGAGACCCACACCCAGGCCACACAGACCTCAGGCCTCTTGGCCTCCCACGTCCCCAGCTCCAGCCACTCACCAGACTCAGCCACCTCGGCAATGGGCACACCTTGCTCATAAGCCATGAAGCCCAAGACTGAGAAGATGGCAAAGCCGGCCACGAAGCTGGTGCCACTGTTCAGGCAGCAGAGCATGATGCAGTCCCTGTGGGAAGAGAGACAGGGCTCATTCAGGGTGCATGAGGCAGCAAAAGGCTGAGATGGCCCCCGCCAGGTGCCATGGATGTCCCAGGAGGGCAGGAGCAGCTGAGGCTCTGGTGGTTCAGAGAGGCTGGGTGCCCAGTCAAGGGTCACACAGCTTCTCTTGGCTTCCAGAAGACAAGCTGGTCATGGGTCAAAGCACCGAAGGGTGTGGGCTTGGGCAGCTGGCACATGGAAGTGCAGAGCTAGCAAGGATGGGGGAGGAGGTCATCTCTTCTTTTGTGGTCCATTGGAAGGGGAAAAAGCTGGAGAAGAGGGGTAAGACGCCCAGTGGCTCACAGCCAGCAGGACAGAGGGGTACGCTTCTGTGTGGGACAGCGCTGCATTGCTGCTGGGGAATGACTGTGTTGTGCCTGGAGCTCCGGCAACTGGGTTGGGACTATGAGGGCACCATTCTGGCCACACTGCTGCCAGCAGCATCTCTGTACCCCAGTGCTGAGCCTGTCTCTCTGCTCCCCTCGTCTAGCCCCTCTTCCACCAGCAGCCATGACTGAGCTGCCTTAAACACAGACAGCCATCTCACCGCCTCTTCTCCCCACACCATGGTCTGTAATGTGACAAAAGGTCATGCTAATGTGGGTGACTCTGCCACCTTGCAGTGACCCTAGCAGGGAGAACAAACTGGAGGGAGCACTGGATGGGTGTAAGGACCTTGGCCCCCCACCTCTCCACTATCTGCCCTCTGGGCCAAGTCTCCCCTATTGCAGAAGAGGTGTTTGGATTACAGAGTCCTGCAGGCTTTGTGCAGACGGATTTGTTTCTTAGTAATGAGTTGCTTCCCTGCCTCCTTCCCCGGGATGGAGCATATTTCCTACCCCGCTGACTCGGGCTCAGCCATGCAGCTTGCTCTGGACAAGAAGCCTAAGCAGATGTGACACCATTTCTGTGATTTTCCATGAGAACAACCTCCCCCAGGCATTGCCATCCATCAGCCTGGACACCATGTGGGCACACAGTGGGCTGAGCTAGACCTGGGGTCAACTCCACCTGGCCCCCAGCTGCAGGCCAGTGTCCCCTGCTGACCAGTTGCTTTGGGAACCATAAAGGTAAATATGTTCAGTGGTCTGAATCTGAGGCCTGGGGCTGTTTGTTATGCAGCATCTTTGGGGCAGTGGAAGACAGATACGTTTCCTTTAAAGGTCATTTCTGGCACCGTGGATGTGGACTGGGTTGATGGGGCTGGGGATGTCACCTGCAAATCTGAATCTCCTCTGCTCCCAGGGCAGGGAAGAGCATCCACTGCAGGGACTGTGTTTTTCCATCCTCCTGTTCTGCTCTGTAAGGCCCTGCCATGTGTCACCCTGTGTGAGGATCCACCAGACCCAAGTTCCAGAGATGGGGTCATATGTTCCAGCTGTCCCTGATGTCCTCTCTGGAAGCTGAATGCAAACAACCTCTAGGAACAAAGACTCCCAAAGCCTCACTTTTGGATAATTGTGTGGGCTGCTGCCCAGGTAAAAGATGAATGTGTCTCATCACAAAATCCCCATCTTCTCACAGTCGCCTCTCAAGTGACTTCTTTGTATCCCAGAGGGATAGAGGGAGGGACAGAGGCAGAGGGACCTGAGGTCCCCTCTTGCTTGTGACTCACCTGTCTGCCTAGTGCACCCCAACCCTGCATAGCCTGAAAGCTGGGTCACCCCTCCCTCTGCCACCTCCCTTCTCATCTGGCTTATGTAATAAGCATTCTGAAGTCAGCAGGAAGCTGGGCCAGCAGGAGGAGGGTGCACCCCTTCTCCGCATCAGGAAGACCTGCACGCAGAGCAGTTTAGATGCAGAATGCTCATGGCCCTGTGATGCTGCCATGTCACCTGCTGCGCCTGCTGACTCCCACTATGAGAGGACAGGCAGAGAGAATCCCTGCCTGCAGAGAGTGGCAGAGGCCAGTGTTTATCACAAGCATGGATGGCCAGGAGGAGACAACTGTTCCAGATCTGCAGGCTGATGACAAGCCTCAGCCGACGTCTAGGAAGGACGTGGTGGTCCCTAGCAGGAAGGAAAAGGACCCTGCAGGCAGGGCAGGGGACGGACGTGAGGCTGAAGAGCAAGAGCTCAGTGCTGGAGGAGGGGTGGCAGGGGCCGTGTCACTTACCAGCTTCGTGGCCCTAGCATGGCCTTTCTCCCGCCAGGGTCCCTGTGAACCATGCAAGGGGGCAGAGGCTGATACCATGGGGGTGGGGCGGGGCATGCCTGGCGCCTGCAGCCCATGCTGGGCCTTATTTCTCTGGCTTGAGTCCCTCCTCTGGCCCTGAGCAGGGGAAGGCCAGCTGGGCAGCCTGTACCTTCCTGGACCTGCAGGCTGGTGGGTCCTGGGGGTGCAGCAGGGCAGTGGGAATGGCAGATGTGGCAGGCCAGGGCTCTCACCTGTAGCAGTTGTTGTTGTAGTTGTTGTAGCTGCCCAGGGCAGTCAGGCAGCCCAGGCAGATGGCATAGGAGAAGAAGATCTGCGTCCCAGCGTCTACCCACACCTAGGAAACACAGCGCAGCAGAAGAGAGGCAGTCAGAATGGGTGAGAGAGGAGCTCGTTCTCCCAGGTCCTCCAGCCTCCAAAAGAACATCACAAAGTAAGCACCAGACTTTCTACCTTCTCAGGATTCTTACACTGCCATGCTATTTATTTATTTTTTGGAGACAGAGTTTTGTTATGTGGTTTAGACAGCCTTGAATTTATCATGCAGTTCAGGCTGGCCTTGTACTCTCAGCAAACCTCCTGCTTCAGCCTCCTGAGGGCTGGATTAGAGGGCTGCACCACCATGCCTTGCTAAGGAGCTATTTTTAAAGGTACTCTGCCTTCGGTGAATGCTTCATTCCCTACAAAAGGCCTCAGTGAGTTCCAGGGTTTCCTGGAGGTTCTAGATAATAAACAGCTCACTGGAAACCTGAATCTTGATATCGAGGTCCCTAGCTGAGCTTCCTGTCCTAGTGAATTCCCCCTTCTATCACTAAGGGCAGTGAACCATGCAGCAAAGCAAACTCTCAAGAGTGACCCACAGGGAAGAAACTGCAGAGCACTGGGCCTTGAGCTGGCCACTCCCCTTGTTCATGTCTTTGCAATGGGGCATCCCTTCTACTGTCCCTGGGTGTGTGCAGGTCAAGGTGACAAGAAGCATCTAGAAGAGCAGAAAACCAGTTCCCAGGAAGGACCAGATGCCGTCACACAGTGGACAGTTGCTGGTTTTCCCTACCCCATGCCCATCCATCTCTGTTGGGTCACAGTGCCTTGATATACTCAAGCAGAGGTGCTGGGGAGAGCTGGTTGGAGGGGGAGAGTCAGGCCAATCAAAGCTTTCCTTAACCTCGGGGAACTAGGGATTCACAGAGCAGGAGAGACTTCTCTCCACATTCTGTCTGGATGTGCACATGCACCATCCCCCTTCAATGAATTGCACATTTGAGGGAGAAAGCATTAGGTTTGTCTCCTGCCTCTGGGAGAGAAATGACTTTTCCTGTTGGGGTGTGGTGAGTCTATGGCTAGTATCTCAAAGGTGACATGGGGAATATGCGTGAGCCAGCACTGGGGACAGTGCTTGGATCCTGACGTGTGTGAAGAGTACCCAGGAGAGGACCCAGGAGCCCAACCCTTCCCCATGATGTCCCCCTTCAATGAGGTGGCAAATGGCTGTAATCATAGCACTCTGAGAGGCTGAGGCAGGAGGATCACAAGTGAAAGCCACACCTGGGCAATTTAGCAAGAGACTATTTCAAAATGAAAACTAAAAATGGGCTGGTGATGTAGTCCAGTGTGATGGTCCTGGGTTCAATCCATAAGCACCACAAAATTCTGGGGAGAAAGAGACTCTTCCCTCTGCCCCCTGGAACTGTGCAGGGAATATCTGCCACGTGGGGGTCACCGTCCTGGGTCACGAGGTAACAGCAGAAGCCAACATCTCGGAACTCATGCTTGCAAGGGGCTCACATGTGGGCAGGACCTGTCCTGTCTGTCCCAGGAGCAGGAGAGAGGCGGTAGAGGAGGTCTGGTTTTCTAGAGTGAAACAGGCTGCAGGAAGGTGGCCCCCGAAGACATCCTACAGAGCCAGAGTCAGGACAGGGCTGTGCTGGACACATCACTGTGTCCTGCCACAGAAGCGAGAGTAAGAGGAGCTGTGCTGGCCGGCCGTGACACTGATCTTCACAGTGACACCCGCCAAAGCCTGGGGCCACACAGAAGCCCTGTGAAGTGCTTTGCAAGTATTAAATTCGACACACCCTTGCTGTCCTGCTTTACTGTCTCCTCTGTACAGGAGCCAGCAGCCACGAGGGGAGCTCCCATTAGTTTCAAGAGAAGCACATACAGCCAGGCGTGGTGACACACACCTGTAATCCCAGCACTCCAGAGGCTGAGGGAGGAACTTGGTCTACATAGTGAGACCCTGTTTCAGAAAAGCAATTAAAAAGTAAAAAAAAAGAGACACGCAACACACATTGGCCATGCATAGCCACTTTGGGTGCAGGAAGAAAGGAATCTGAGAACCTCCCCAGAACCTGGCTGCCCAGAGGAGACAATTCCAAGCAGAAAGGGACTAAATTCAATTAAACTGTGTCCTTCAGGCCCCTCAGGCTGAGCCTGCAGGCGCTGAATGAAAAGGGTGGAGCCTTGTTCTTCTACCTCTTTACTTGCTGTGCAACCTTGGACAAGTTTCTTCACCTCTCAGATCCTCCACTTCCTTGTCCTTGGAAACAAGATGTAGGGACTGTAAAGTGTGAGCAGGGTGGCTGATTCCATCTCCGTAGCCGGGTGCTCTTGGGAGGCTGAGGCTTCTCCCTGGTACTGGTTCCCACTTGCTATACTCCCTCCCCACCCGGCAGCCCGTGCAGGTTCGGAGGCCACCAAATGTGCAGTGCTCAACGCTGCAGCAGGCGCACTGCCTCCTGGGGAAGCCTCAGCTGCCTGCAGCTCCTGGCATTCCAAGGCCTGGACACTAAGACGCACAGAAACCACGGGTCCAGCAGCACGTGAGGCTTTGGGATCCAGAAACTCTTCTGGGGCTCACAACCCACAGCCTCTCCTGTCATTTTTTTTAAAGTCAGACAGACAGACAGACAGACAGACAGACAGACAGATCCCACAACTCTTGTAAGTGGAGCCTTCCATGGAGGCAAAAACATAATTTATATGGCCCGGCAGAAAATGGCTGAATTAAGTTCTTTCTTCTTGCTTTTTATATTGGGAAGGATTCTCAAAAGATTAAAAGTAGGTTAGGAGAATAATAAACCAGCTGTGTTTCCAGTGTGTACCTGACAACGGCTTTTGTGGGAGTGAATAATTACATGAAAATCACTTCCTCCCCAGCCCTTTTCAGCCGCCCCTGGGTTGCTAGGCACCCTGGCCCCTGCCCCGCTAATGCTGCGCAGGCGCAGGAATACAGTATGGCCTTTATGAGCCAGGGGAGTCTGGCCTGGTGGCTTCAATGGGGCGAGGGCTATGGGGGGACATGCTGGACATATTTAAATGTTAATGCGCCAGGAGGGGGCAGGACAGGGGACAGCGATGGGAGACTTATGTTTGGCTTCCTGCCCTGTGCCCAAGTCCTTCCCTGGGCAGCTAGGCCTGAGGTCCACCAGCCTGCTAGGGAGCATTACTGGAATGAAGGGCGAGAGCCGCTTGGTCTGCGCAGGAGTTTGGGTGTGTAGGCTGACCCTGGAGGCCCTTCTGTGCAAGCAGCTGGAGGTCACTGTGGCCGGGCCTGTGTCCAGGAGGTTGCACAGAATGGAGCAGGGCAGGCAGGGTGAAGGGTGCTGGCTGGCCCTGGGCACATGGTGGGTGATGACCTCCATGCCTGACACGGAAGAATCCTGGGGCTCCACACGCCTCCCTCTTAGCCAGTTCCACCTGAGCCCCATTTACCAAAGGGCTCAGAGCCAGGATGAGCTTTCCCCAGGCTGTCCCAAGACTAGGCCTCCATTTAGGCCCAGGCCTCCCCACCCACCTCCTAGGTATTGCTGGCACCCAGACTGTATGGTTGGCTGCTCATTCAACACAGGATGTTTAGCCCCCTGGTTTCCACACTCCAAATGCTAGAGGTGCTCTAAGCCATGGTGGTAGTCAATGCTGTGCCCTGTCTTTTTCTAAGTGACCCCTGGGCTATGGTACCTCTTCCCTTTGGCTGTGAGCCACTGAGGCAGGAAGCCTGAGCTGGTTCCACAGGCAGGGCTATGGCATCCTGGTCCCCAGGACAGCTCCTGGCCAGGATCCACTGCAGGTCTCAGCTTGTGCATCCACCTCAGGGCCTGGGTGCAGACTGTCTTCCTGCCCGCACAGCCACCTTCACTCCTTTCCTAACCAGAGTCAGGTCTAAGGCATAGGGCAGTAAAGAGCATCTGGCCATGCTCTGTGCCCTCTAGGCTTTCAGGTAGTCTCATGCAGGACTTCCTGGGGGAGATGGAGGAGGAACAGCATGACGCAGTGAGGGCGCCACTTCATCTGTCTGCCCACAGGTGGAGGAATGCAGACCTCCAAGGGCACTGTAACACTTGCCACATGGATGGATGGTCCAGGAGAGCAAGGAGTTCCCTCCCTGTTTTCACCATCACATGCTGGCCCAATGAGCACCTAAGGCATAGACCTGTTGCCCACAGCTGTGCAGTCTCCAGTATATCTAAAGGATGTTTCCAGATGGACATAGAGCCCTAACTAGCAGGCCAGGTGAGAACTTACTGCACTGAGGGATAGGATACCTGGGTCCCCTTCCAACTTGGCCTAAAGTTCCTGCATGCTCACCCTAACGTTCTTTACTCCTAGCCTTGGATTCCTAGTCTATAAAATTTACACATTGAACCAGGTGTGGTGGTGCACACTTTTAACTCCAGCCTGGGAGGCTGAGGCAGAAGGACTATAAGTTGCCCATCCAGCCTGGGCAACTTAGTAAGACTCTAAATAAAAAAAAAAGGTTAGGGATACAGTTCAATACTAGTACTGGGTTCAATCCCAAGTACTACAGAGAGAGAGAGAGAGGGAGAGAGAGAGACACACACACAGACACACAAACAGACAGGCAGACTATGGCAACTGGGTTGCAGTGGAGACAGCAAATATGTGGCATGCATACACCACCCCCATGCCTGCCCACAGCAGACATTGCTAATGAATCATTGCATTTATTGCCCTAGGTCTAGCCATGGTGAGGTTGTTCTCAGCAGTTAGAGATAGTGAAGTTGAAACCCAAAGGATGATCGTCCAGCCCAGATATCTGGGCCAGGGTTTGCCATCATGTTGACTGAGCCTACTTCTCTGGGGAAATCCCAGAAGACATGGAACAACTACTTTCATGGTTAAGCTCATGTCCCATACTAGGTACAGATGTAAATTCAAATGCAGGGGTCAGGGAACTTCATGAAGGGAGGAAGAGGAGGAGGAGGATGGCAACAAGTTTTTGTGCTGTTATTGGCCTGTGAGGCTAGAAGGAAGCTCATGGCATGTGCAAAGTCCCAGGGGTTGTGAAGGGAAGGGCTATGTGGACTTCCCAGTAGG